AGAGCGTCGCACACAGGAATATCTTCAAAGAGAATAGAAGTAATGTCAAACGAATCAGAGGTGGAGGTGGGGTAACTAAGAGGAGTTTCAGTAATCAAAGTGCTGCAAGCCGTCATGATAATTCTGGCAGCAGAAGTGAAAAGTGCCTCCTCAGAAGTATTTTTTTGGGGGAAAAAAAAAAGGCATGGAGATTTGGGGTGTTTTTTTAAGCAAGCAAGATCCTGAAGACAATGTTTCAACTACAAAGCGGGGGAAGTTTCAGGAAGGTTCACTAGGTGGCTGTGACTCAAAAAATAAACAGTTACACCTTCACCTGGTCTAGCTCAGCGGTGCCTTTTTGAATCAGTGGTTGCAGCCATTTACATAAATTCAATAATTGAATCACCCATAATGCTGAATTGAAGGGACTGTTGTAAAGCCCCAGAAAAATGGAGTATAGTGGAAGACATCCAGATCTGTTCAAATAATAAGCTTACTCATTTTGTGAGAAAAGGACCCTGAAACCTCAACCATTGAGATAGCTCTTGGATTTTACAGGAGAGCTTTTATTGCCATCTACTGGTCTAAATAGGCAGTTTGCTTTACTACAACATCCTTTCTAAGAACCATTTGGAAAATGTTTGCTTACTGAGAAAATATTTTGAAGAGATTGTTTCAGAATATTCCTTAGGCAAGCTTATCTTTGGCATGATATCAGACGAGTCTGTTTGTAGTTAGCTATGTTGGCATGCCAAGCTTTATGAAAGGGGGTTCATTTGAACATCTGGAACCTGACGCACCCATAAACGCACTCCAACACATGCTTCACTTTGCAGGAAATCAGCTCTAGGAACACACAGAGGGTTTTGTACGTGTGCTGTGCAGTGGGTATGTGTGCATGCACTTTGAAAACCAGAGTTGTCAACATTTCTTTCTACTTTCAACTTCCAAACTACATAAAATTGAGCGGGACTTGAAGAAAAACTTTCTCTTGATTAGTTCTTCAGAATTTCTAATTACTCCAAAGCCCCAAAAAAATCAGCAGGAGAGCTTGAAACTTGGAGGCTTGATTAAATTAAGTCTGAATCAAGTCATTGACAAGGTGAGATTAGCTTTTTTATAAATAGTTTATAAATACAGTTATAAAACTGCAAGGGCCAGTTCTGTGTCTTTCTCAAGCAAGACGCCCATTGAATCCATAATCCCTTAATAAGATCTCTAGGATAAGTATCTAATTTCTCTAAACTCCAAAGCCTTTTATATATTTTTCTGTCTATTCAGTATGAAATTCCTACGAGGCAGATTTTCAGTTCTTTTCTGGAGGCATCCATGCTGGCTGAAAAACCATTGCCAGGCTGCCATATAACTCAGATCTGCAGAATGTTTATCTTTCATCAGATGAACTAGGTGTTTGTACAAGTACTCCCTGACTCCTGCAGATTTGGGGAGCTCAAAAGGGGGAAGATCAGCAGTGACATTATTCAAATTATTTAAAATCACCTCACTCATTTTGACTGAAAGAAATGGAAGGATGACCTGGCAATAGTTACCATTTCAGTCAGTACAAAGGTGTCTATGGCCTTGCACCCATAAGTACACAAAAAGCTCCTCACACAATGATTAAATCTGAAGAAATAGCTGGAAAAAGATGTAGCAGCAACAGAAGGCTATTTTTTTAACTAGATTTGCTGATTTGGAGTTTTAAACTGTGTGTCATTATACTGAAGTAAGATGACAGAATTGTGGGGGGTTTATTTTTCTTTTCCCTGCAGCGCTCATGTTCATTCCTGAGACTACCACAGCCTGATCATCCTCCTAGTGGCCATTGTTTGCAGATCTTAACCAAAGCCTTTGTACTCATTGTCACTCATGGTTCCTATTTTTTGTCTTTGTTCTTCTCTCACAGCTACAAGCCCCCAGCGTGAAAGGCTTTGATTTTGCAAAGCAGCATCTGGGCCAGCACAATAAAGATGATGTCCTGATTATCCATGAGCCAGCTCCTTTACCAGGACCTGTTAAGGATACTACCCCATCTGAAAATGGAGATGTGCCCAGCCCCAAATCCAAGACTTCCTCAAAGCCTTCAAAGACTGTTCGACACAGAGGGAGGTCAGTTCACAGAGATAAAACAAATTGTAGTAGGTGACAGTTTATTAATGGCTGGCTATTACTGTATTTTTAGGGCAATTTCAGTGGAAAGAACTGTTCCAGAGCTCTGGGACTTGCGTTTTCTAGTGGGCCGTCAGAGTTACACCTCGCTACTCATTAGTACAATGTTGTGAGGATTTAGTGTCCATTTTTCTCTTAAAGGCAACATGCCCACTTAAGAGGGGTATTTAAGACACTACTGGGTTGGCTGGAGTCAAGTCATTGCTTGTTTAGTGGAAACACCAAGTGTATGTTTTCTGATGTATTCTCTTTGTAGTGATCTCTGGCTACTGCGGCAACGGGTGGTTAAAAAGAAACGAAAACCATTGACAAATAGCAGTGTGTTTCAATAATATTAGTAGTGATCAATACATGTATGAGAAGATATAAGATATTATGTATCCTTATAAGTAAGATAAGGAATTTCCAGCAATAAGCGGTATCTCCAAAATTCAGGGAAGATGCATGAGTGTTTTTATTTGTGGTTATCTGGTTGCTTTCATAGCAAACCAGCTTTGGTCAGGAAAAGGAGTGATGATTTACAGCTGTGCAAGTGGAGAAGTGTCTGTCAGCCTTCAGCAGTAATTTCCTAACCTTTTCCAATAATCAAATAATGTGAATGTGTCTTGCTGGAAAGGATTGTGTTTGTAGGATAGGCGCTGTAACCGAGCTATGTAGAAAAGAAGGATCTATGCATTAAAAAAAAAAAGGGGATAAGTGGGAAGGTAATAGGTGGGAAAAAAACGGAGCCCTGAGGAGAGGAGTGCTATGATGAGTCACAAACAGCTCCTCACTGCGGAGCTCCTCTGTGCTCCACTTTCCAGTAATTCTTCTTCCTCTCCCTCCCTCTCATATTTTTCCACTCCTTTGTCTCCAGCTCTGCATCCCCTGTGCTTTTACCTATGTGCTATTGCATGGTGGGAGAAAAAAAAAACCAAGCAAGGGCAGAGTTGAATGAGCTTAGAAAGAAACTAACGGTGGTTCTTCCTGAGCTGCAGGTCTCTGAGACGCAGCTTGCTCCTCTGCTCAACCTTCTGTGCTTCCTCTAAAGCCCCAGTTGTCGTAAGGTACTTGCTTCATCTTCCCTACGTGGGCTTCGTTCAGCTCAGTTTCCACTTTCCCAGATGCTGAGTCTGTCCTCCTAACTCCCTACGGGCCTTGCAAGTAGTAGACTACCGGTGGTACAGTGGAAGGTGGGCAAAATTGCAAAATAATGGAAAAAAATTAGCTAACTCATTTTGGTGTAGCTTAAATAAATTAAAACAAATTAATATAAATCAGAAGGACAAGCGTTTCTGTGTTTCTTTTAAAAAGTTCAAAAGTGACCTAAGACAGCGATGATACTTAAGGGGAGGAGAAGGTATCTATATTCACATGCACATAAGTATAAGAAAGAAATTTAAACTTGAGGCTGTTACTGTATTTCTTCTAGAATAATTCAGAAAATAAAGCGGGAAAAATTTTCAGAAGCCAACATTTTAATGCTTCCCCTGAAGACAATAATGAAGCGTTGATCAAATTCAGAACAACGATATTTCCTTTTTTAACAGCATCTAAATTCAATCACTTCAAAATGTTTTCGAAAGAGAATTTCCCTCCTCTCCCTCATCCTCCCTTAAGAGCAAATCTCCTTTTAGGCTTAACTATGGAGATGTTCCCATCATCTCCCTAACATGCTGACATGCCCACGTCAGCTTGAGATTTAAAACATTTATTCCCTGAGGCAGAAGTTGAAATGTGAAATGATAGTATAGTGTGTTGTGTTGGTTTTAGCTGTTTTCTGTTTTGGGAGGAAATACAGAACTGGATTCATCACAGTGCAATGCAGGACTGTATGTTGCATGCCAGGAAATATAGTTGTGATTTGAGTACGTGTTCCGTATCTGTAAAAAACAACAAACAAGGAAAACAACCGAGTTCTGAAAGCACGACATCTCTAGGCTCCAGCTGAGAGTTGGACCTGTTGTTTTGGCTTGAGAGGATACAACTGCATATTCCTCAGCACTTATAAAGAATGACTGATGTTGACTCAGCACTATTTATGTTCCTATAATTTACTTAATGATAATTTAGATAGACTGAGGAAAGAGTATGAAGGAATACAAAGCACAATGAGGGGAAACAGAAAGTCAGTAGCAGATCTGGAAACAGAA